ATAAGTTCTCTACTCTCAAAAATATAATCTCCATTTTATTATTTTTTTTTCAACATTTTTTATTTTCCTGTATTAATATAATCAAATTATTTTGTTAAATTAAGCGTTATAGTGAGTGAAGACCTTTCTTTATGACTACGGTGGCCGGTTCCTGCATTTTAAGACTTTCTAGAAAACTAAGACAGAATGTTTTTTTGAAAATTGATTTTCAATTGAATTTTTAGGAAACCTTCCTCAACAGAGGCCATTATTGAACGAATTGCCTTTTTTTTGGAATACGAGCACAAGATTTCACCATTGCTGATAACCACTTATTTTAATAGAAATATTCCATAGTATGTAAGAAAATATAGAAGAATTAAATAAATACATATAATCTTGTTAGATTACACCAAAAATCATAATATATTAATTTTATTAAGTACATTATTTTAAGTATAATGAAAAATGAGAATCGTAACCAAAATCAAAATATTTAATATTTTTTTAAATTCTAAAAAATAAATATTGATGATAAAAATGATATAATATAGGTAGTTAAAATTAGTTTTTCTGTAATATAACTTACATATTCGAAATTATCAAAAACAGTATTTAAATACTTCAGATCTATATCCTTTATTAAATTATAGTTTTAATTAATTTTTTAAATAAGTAGTTATATCATATTATGTATGAAATAATTTATTATAAAAATATAATTACCATTTTTGTATGCATTTTTGTCTTTTCTTGCATAATTAAATAGTACAAAAAATGATCACAATATTATGTTTATTTATTATTATTTTTTGTATATTTTTTATTATTATTTGAATTATTTAATACAATGTACAAGAGTTAAGACGTATAGAAAGAAAATAATACATCCTGGTCTAATCAATAACAATGAATGAATAACTACCTAATTTCCAAATGATGATAGTTTTGTAAAAATCAATACCGTTAATAATTAGAGAAAATTATAAATACTTTATAATATATGTAATACCTAAGTGCATTGATATATTTTTGACATATAAAATGATAAATTATATCCAAATCAATATTAATTAGGCGATTTAATAATTGATTTAAAAAAAAGCTTAAAGCAAGTAAAGGTTTGTGATATTTATATAGCCTAACTACATAAAAAATAAAGTATTTAGAAGCGATGATTTTTTTTTTTTTTTTAATTATTTTAATAACATTAATTATACGTTTTATAAGTTTCAGTGAGAACTAATTGATAATCGTTAGGAATTTTTTTTTTTTTTTAATTAATTAATTTTGAATTAATAAATTGATAATATCAGATATACATTTTAAAACAAAAATCTTTTTATCTTTTCTGCGAATTCTTTTTTAAAACTCAGTCGTAATAGTTTACAAATTATACTACATACTTGTATTATGTATAAGTTGAAACGATTGAAAAAAAATAAAATTGTTAGATTAAATGTTATAAGACTAATGACAACTTTGATGGGACTAACTTTAGTTTATAGTTAAGCAACCCAAACTGCTTTTAAAATCTGAGGTTTTATCATAAAATTAGATTCTTACATACATTTATTATGGGCATATTAGGTACACGTTATAGATAAATTTAACTTAGCATTGCTGTATTGGTAAGCTGTGGATAATGTAACAAAACATCTGAAGTTCTAACTAAAAATATGTTTTCTCATGCAATACTGCATTAGATATATATTAATTTTAATTTTTAACTTTTAAACCAACAATAATAATATAATTAAAAGTATCATCCCATAAATATTTAAATATTATATCATTTAATTATATTTGTTGGTGAAATATTAACAATCTGAGAAAAAATAAACGACATATTTTAAATTGTATGTTGATAGCTCTTTTCCATGTGGCTTAACATAGAAAAAACAACCATGCAATACCATAAGTCTTTATTTAAATTCTATTTATTTAAAAATGATAAATTATTGTGAATTTATATTTAATTTGCTTAAAGTATTCCCTTAATGTGCATTATTTTTTTTAGTTTTTAAATGTATGCTATCCACAGTCTCACGAATATATCTTTTTCTAAGGTAAATATTTAAAATTAATTTACCAATGATTGATATCTTGTTTTAACTGTTGGTAAATTACAGGCTACTAAAAAGATATCAATAATTATATATTAATTGATAATAAATAAGCCATCATAAGTCATTGTAATTAGAACGAAATTTAATTATGGTAGAAATAATTATTTATTTTTTCAGAATATTAATAATTTAATTTAAAAAATACAAATAATCATGAATTATAAACGTACTGTTACACAACATTAGACGTACTTTTAAAAACTGATTTACATAAAATAATACATTTTTAAAAATTTTCCTAATTCTTATTTTGGATATTACAGATATCCATTAATTTAATAAAATAACCGCACTCTTTTTTTTCTTTCATTTTTTTTTTCATAGTAAATGAACAACTGAATCAATCATAGTTACCACGGAACATTTTTACCGACTTCTATCATGTCGTTTTGGAAAATCACGGTATTCAACTGCAATTTATTCATTTATAACGATATCATAAAAAATAAATATATTAATGTATAAAAAGTATACGATAATGGTTTTCTAGTGGTTATTTTTAAATTATAAATAGTGATTCAGATGACCATTGCTTATTATGGGCATCTCTAACAATGCTTAATAACTATGCTATCTTTTTTACCGATTTCAATAAATGTTTGCCCAAATATTATTTTTACCTATATATTGATCAAACGATAGTAATTTTAACCATAATATTACAGTGAAGAAATAGAAGTAAAAATATAAATTAATTTTGCTAATTATACTTTAAAAAATGAGACTTGAGAATTTAAATGTACAAACAATAGAATTATAAGTGAGTAATCCAATAGAACATATATTATGTAAAAAAATAATTCTTATATTTTGTGAAATAAAAAATGTTCTTAATTTTAATTAACTACATGTAGACGTATACTAAATTCAAAAATACTATTCATAAAATTAAAATAATTTTCTGAAATTTAAAACTGAGGTATTCAATTATGATTGATAATAATCGTACAAAATTCATATGGGTTATGTCATAAAAATAAGAATAAGTAGGTATTTAGTTACCAAATGTTTCATAAAAAAAAGGAAACCAGAAAATATTTAAATATTGACATTTGAAAATATGAACACAAATATTGAATCAAAGTTCAACAGATTATATATTAAAGAATTTTGGTTAAGCAAACAAGAAAACTATATACTGAAGTTTGAAAAGTATATTTAAACAACTTACTTAAAGAAGATATTACAAAATGAATTATTAAATAAATAATATGTTCTACGTCAGTATTATTATATGGGAGCCCTAAGTTCAATCTTTTTGATAATCACTATTTTTCAATTAGTGTATAATGTCTAATCGAAGTAAGAGTAAAATATATTATAGCCATATTTACTAATTTAATTTAAAGTGATTATTTTTATAATCTTAAAAATAGTAATATGATTATTGTGAACAAAAAAATAAATAAAAAATTTTTACATTACTTTGGTTAAATTAAACGTATTTATGATAATTACACATAATATTAAGTATACTTATATGTAGGTACTCAATATAGGCTAGATATTAGCTAATAATAAGCTGAGTGTCTATGACTTCAAGTCATTCTCTAAAAAGGATAAGAAATTTCATTTTATTTTCTTAATCAGTCATAAAGTATTTAGAAAACTAAAAAAATCCAAAATGACACGAGAATCATATTTGAGGTATGCTTCATATTTTTATTTATAAAATAAAAAGAGCTTATTCGGTTCACTTACAACTCATGTTCCACGTTCAATTCAATAATTGTATAAGCTATGCTTTAAATTAAACCTAAATTAATTTTTTTCTATATTATAATCAATTTCTGTTAATTTAAATATACGTTTTCATCAGAAATCCACGTATGATAAAGTTAAATTTAAAATTCAAGAAATATCATTTTTGTCTATGGAAAAATATTAAATTAAAAATTAAGCTCATTATTTTTAAAACTGGGGGTTAAAAGCAATTTTAAAAATTCTTCAAAAACACTGATATAAATGTTTAATTCATTCGATGATTTGAGGTTTATACATAGGTTAAATATAATGTGTATTGGTGATCATGCGTAATTGGAATCAACAATACATTTAACACTTGATAATCAGCTTTGTGAATAATATTTAAATTTCAAAACGAGATTTTGTTGGTTTAAAAGAGGAATTACATAGTAAAAATATCAACAACTAATATTAAATTTGTGCTAGTCGATGACTGAACATTTTTAATGAGATTGTGTTGGTCGGTCAGGTCAAATTAATCAGACACAGATTGTATTCAAGAGGGTTGCATGGTATTCGAAGCACCTTAAATCGTTTTTTTTTTTTTTTTGTTCAACACAATTTTTGTGATAAGACGTTAATGTTAATACTATAAGTTAAATAGGAGTCTTAATATGTGAGGTTATTTTTTTAGCAATGTTTGTTCAATTATAATGCAAAAATATTGCATTTATTAAAATTATAATTTAGTAATATATAGAAATTTTACTATTTAAGACTTTTGAAAAATAAAAAAAATTATTTTTATCATCTTTTTATACTTCATTTTTCTTAAATTACAATATATAATAGCAAATTATAAGATACATTTATTTACCGGAAATATTGGATAGTTAATTATGAGTGTCATACATACTATTAGTCTGCGTGTTTGTATTTATGCATTAATTTTCATTACATTCTGTTGTTATATATGTGTATGTGTATGTAATTACATAAATAATTCAATATAATAAATATTAACCAAATGTAAAAATGAAATCTCATAAAATATTAAACTGTTATAAACAGCTAATATTTAGTATTTTGATATTTTAATTACTATGTGACTTTAATAATTTATTAATTTATTGATAATTTCACATATTGTAATAATTTGAATGATACATTTTAAATTTTATGTTTGTATATGTTTGTATGTTTCAGTGAACTATTATTTGAAAAAAATACCGCTACAGAAAGCCACAAAGAATTTTGCTCCATTGTTTCGTGTCAAAGAATACTTCTACCCTACAAATGGGTCAATTTGTTTTATTCTTAGCTTTTTATAAGCTTATAAAGAAGCCATACATGTTACCATTTTAAAGTGTTTACTATTACTCGACCAGGGTACGTAATTATTATGAAATCGAACATAAATAATATGGAAGCATTGCTGAAATTTGGACTAAAACGGTATTAAAGTATGTTCATTCAACTAAATAATTAGGGTATTAAACTATTAAAAATATTAAAACTACTAAAACTTGTTTAAAATTAAAGGATATTTTCCAATATAATTTAAATAGTAAATTGTTTATTTATTTGCGTGTTGTTTAAAAAAACAATTTAGTTGAACATTTTCAGTTTTAATTTAAAAATGTTTTAAATTAGTAATTATTGAAATTAAAAACGAAACGATAGAATTAATATTTTAGATATTCATTTTGTTGACCAGATTGACTAACTTTAAAGAAAATTAAAAAAAAAATTTAATTTAATTTATTTTTAACTGTAGAAAAGAATACTTATTGTCAAAAAAATATATTACAAAAAAAAATGATTTTATATTTACATTATAATATCGGCTGGTAAATGGCAAAAGAGGCTAAGCAACATGGTGATTACTGCGGGATAACCGAAAGTTAGATCTTTCGATCGCATTAACGCTAGGGTTGCTGTGACCATTTAGTAATGAGATATAGTAAGTACAAGAAATTAGATTTTTTGGTACAAGCGACATAATTTTTATAGAAGTAGGGAACAAGCGCTTTTTTAAGGGTATAGCGACACTGTTGAAAATTTTATGGACTAAGCGACAAACATGTAACTCAATAAAAATTCAACAAAAGCTTGATCACCCTAAAATCAGGGTTAGAAATGCAATAATCAAAGAAATAAAAATATAAATTTCCGAAATGTTCAAAAAAACATTCACTAAAAACTGTTCGTTCAAATGTATTCTATTGTCTGATTTTGCATTCTATTAGTTTGGTAGTTCAATTGTATACTGTTTTGAATTGTATGCATAAAATCTATATCATTAGAAATTATTTCCTAGAATTAATAAGTTAAAATCTTTTAGTTACGCAATTTGTTTTGTAACAAAATGTTTAAAAGATGTCATAAAATGTAATAATATAATATAAATTACTACGTTTTGGTTATACTGACACAAGCAAAAGTAGAAAAAATGTATTTTATATTTTCCCGAAATTATGATACCAAAACATTCGATAAAAATCAAAATATAGGAAATTAAAAATTTGCGTTAATATTCTTTTGTATATAGTACGAACTTTGTACTTGATTAGAAATGTTTAATCATAAAAAAAAAAAAAAATCTTATCCTATTTAATTTTATTAATTTAATTTTGACCTACTAACATATATAGCTAAATCTATTCATTCTTTAACAAGCTAACATAAGAATAAAAATACGTTGTATTAATAATTGTTGCAAAAGTTATCGTGAAAAATAACGCAAAATAATCAGAATTTTTCATTTACTTTATCAGCTTGCCAAATTTTAAAATACTTAGTAATACCAGGATAGGTACAAGTATTTTATTACAATGCTAACATTAAACATTCTTGAGCGATTTTTTTTTTTTTTTACTATCAAATCATTTTTCTATTCTTTATCAAAGAATAAAATCGATGTAATATTGTACATAGAAAAGAATTAATTATGTAATAATTTTAGCTCTGATTGCATAATAACAAATTTTCCAACAATTTCCTATATCTCCTCGGTTCATCTCACGTTTTTACCATGATAGCCTTATTCAAATTTTTTCGGGAAAAATTAAACCTAATGTTAACATATTTATTGCCAATTCATTTAATTAAATAATTATTATATATACAAATACAATCATAAGTAATCATCATAATATACATTACCTATAGGCTACATTAAAGGTAAAGTACCCTGATTTAGATCTTACAAAGTTACTTTTATTTTATAAATATATAACATTTAACCAGTTTTTAACTTAAAATGTTTACATAAATAAAATATTAGGTATTAGTTTATTATTCAATTAGAATGTATAGTAAATTTTTTATTCTATACTTATGAAAGTAGTACCGAAAATAAAAATTTTATGTTTGGATTTATAAGAATTGTATTATTATTATTATTATTATCAATACATATTTTAACTTATTCTAAGGAACAAATTATACGTAATTAAAATAAGATTTCATATTTATAAAAAAAAAAAAAAAATAACTTGAAAGTATGTCGTATATAATTCATATTGCTTAAACATAATATACAGATAATAGTATAATGTATAAATACTTGGTTATTTAAAGAATTTTAATCGAATAAATCGTAAATCTATTCACCCTATTATTAAACATATACCTACCCATAGTAGGCACAAATTTTCGATTCAATATTATCAAAAATATAATTAGTTTATTTTATTAATATTTTTTTTTATTAATTAATTTTATAATTAATAACAAACAAAATAGTTTATGCAGTTATAAAAATACCTACGTATTAATATGCATACAATTCAAACAAAATCGTTTTAAGTATTATCATAAAATGTAAATTGTTGTGTACGATGAAAAATAGTACATTGAGAATTTAAAATTTCAACGTTGGTAATATAATGGATAATGATCCAGATTAAAGAAAACATTAATCAAGCAAAGACCACTGTACTAAATATAAATAGACAAATTAAAATGCGAATATTCGGAAGGTTCGGTGGAAAAATAACTACGAAACCATCTGTGCGCACCTGCGGGCAACGAGAAGAATAGGTATTAAAAAAAAAATAATAATAATTATTAAAATAAAACTAATAACAGTGAACTCAATAAGTGTGCGGACGTTGTACGGTTTCGTCGGGTATGGATTGTAAACAGTTAACGGTCTTACCTGGTGATTTAAGCGTGTGCGATGATGTCGATGAACACGGTTGCCGACTAAAAAGTGGTGTCGTTCGAACACGGTGCCGTTGACATCGCCGACCGACTGGCGAAACGTAGTTGATATATTATTGTTAGACGGCGCGGCGCACAGGGCGCGGAGGGTTTTTATTTTAATTTTATTTTTTTACCAAAAAAATCGCGATTGACGAACGCAGAAAAGACACATACATCGCAGAGATTAGTACACGGCTAATGCGCGCGCGTGACGGTCACGTTGACGGACTTATCAGATAGTGTTGAACAAAAACAACCGACTACGATAACTTACTACGTATTTTTTTTATTTGTTTTTACCAATACTACTACCACTACTAATATGACACTAATACTACTGCTCCATGCATATTGTCATAGGCGTGCACAGACCTTTTTTTCAGGGTATGCAAAAGACTGCAACTACCTCCCCCCTCCCTAAAAATGAAAGTTAATTTGAGCGTTCAAAATTCTGGTCTTAATAACTATTTAATTTAAAATTTTAATTTTTTTTCCCCGAAAAAAGTGACTGAATAGCCATTTCTTAATCGCTATAACTGTCTTCACAATTAAAATTTAAAATAAATTACGAAAAAAAAAAAATTAAATACATAACACTTGAAATGGTTTGAGTATTACGTTTAAATAGAGTAAATAAATAAAACCGTAATTATATACTTAAATGAAAAAAAAAATAAATTTGATAAATAATCAAAATTAATCATAAAACGGTTCTGCGTACAGTTGAGTTATTAAATCACCAATAATGTTTTCGGGATTTTAATTTATAGCCATTTCTTGTTCTGTAGTTGGCAGCTATTTAATCTTGAATTATTGTACTTCTTAATTTCATTAACACATTAAATCGTTATTATAGCATATGATTTTTGTTTCAAAAATAAATTAAACTGTCTGGCACTGAATATAAAAATATAATAAAAATCATAATGTAATACAAAATCACATAATCTACATAAGACCAAATATGCCATAATTTTTATTTATTTTTTGTAATTTTAGAAAGAAGACTCTATGTTTAGGGTATGCAGTTGCATACCCTGCGCACGCTTATGCATATTGTACACAAAGAGTATACGCACACGCGTACGGTATACGTATCTCGTGTCAATCTATGTGGCACGTAGAGTGCGTTTGTGTCACAGACTTCTATACCACTACGCACTAATGCAGAAGTTGGCGATTTGTGTACGCACGTGATAACTCTCTATGTATACGAATATATATATATCATTTTTTCTTTTTTTAACAATCCGAAGACTGGTTAAATGGTTATTGATGTCTTTTTCCCGTTATTATCTGTCGCTTATATTTCTCTTTGACTCTCGGCACGTTCTTATTCCGACATCATCCATTACTCGTTTCAAGAACGGAGTTCTATAAATCGTTTCTATTATTTTTATGAATATATACACCGGATGCAACACCGATGTGGACGAAGGCCATCACACCGATCGTATGCGAGTGTGTGCAAAACGCAATAAACCTCCGGAGTCCCGTGTAGCTGCGAAAACCCTCCGCGGTAGTGGTGCTCGGTGGGTGGTGGTGGTGGTAGCTAAACCTGCGTTCGCGTTTTCATCGTAATACGCATCATGTACACGTTTTCCGTCAACTAGCCGCCGCATTAAAACGAAATGAAACGCTCCTCCGCCTGCCCTTGCCGATCGCCATCACGGGCGGTGTCGTCGTGTCGCGCGCGGTGTTGATGTCGTACGGCTATTATGTGTCTAGGAGGCGCATTATTCGATTATTATTTATTTATTATTATTAAATGCCGGCGCGTGCAGTGTGCAGTTCGCGCGGCGAACGCGTGCATGAACCAAATATTGTTCACATGGTGGAATGCGCGATGGGCCTGAAGCGGGCGCGCGATTATAAACGTTTGCGTAAACAATATTTTATTTTCATGGGTACTGTGGATAAAAAAAACAAAACAATAATAAAAAAAAAAAATCTTGTTGACAGATACAAAAAACACACACTAATATAACTCGTATTAGACCAGTACATCGCTTCACTTCGCTCAGAATCTCAACCATTAAGACAATACGAAGTTCTTCGGTGTATATAAGTCAACTTGCTATCCACAAAAACATAGATTATAGAAAATAATCCAATATGAACAAGAGTCATACCTCCGATAACTTCAATACCATATTTTTTTTTTATGTTAATTGAAAAGAACATACTTTTAGGAAGTGTCGAACATCGGTTTAGGTTAGGTTTGTAAATTAACTATGA